CGCATTGAATCGACTCGGATCGGTCGGCTCGGCTAAGAGCAATCAGCAGATTTTGCTATACATTAAAATAAATGAACCACCGCGCACCGCTTAAGAACGTTCGACTCGGAACGGTCAGATCGTCTCGGCATCGGAGGAGAATGATAGCAGGGCCAAAAACTGCCGAATGGTCTGATGCTGACGTCGTTGTCTAGTAGTATTTTACGCATAGAAAGGTACACGTCGGAATTTTTATAAACGGACTATGGCCGACGAACTTTTAATAGAAAGTGTGCGGGAATATATAATATTATATGATCCCCAAAATAGATACTATCATGACAGCAATCGAAAAGAAAACGCTTGGAGTGAGATAGCGAGAAAAACAGGAATTTCCAGTAAGTAATAATTATTTATTTTACCATATATTTATCCTAATATTATTTTAAATGTAAAATGTATTTCCTTAATTTTAATATTATGCTTAGTACTAGATACATTAATACTTCAAAGTTTGACTGATTAATTGAAAATATGCCAATTTTTTTGTACTTATATAATGGTTTTTAAATACATTATCTTCCAGCATGTATTTTCTCACGTTGCCATGCCACACTTCCTTGATTGGATGAAAAATATTGTTTAAATTTTTCCCTGATATTGAAAGCGTCTCGTTGAAAATTACCACCAATATAAACCATATTATCAAGACCTTTAGGCACCTACCCATCCTCAAGTTGTCCAGGTTGCCAAGCACAAGAATCGTTCCTTAAAAAGTTGTACAATGCTGTGCAAGCTAAAGTAATTGTATCTAGGTGATCGGGCGAAATATTAAACTTTTTAAAAAAATTCGGAATTTTTTCGTCATAATTCCAAATGCGTTTTCACTTACACGTCTAGCTCTGCAATGACGATAATTATATATTCGGTTTGATTCAGTATTGCTTACTTGGCTTCCTGGATACGGTCTCATTACATTAGGCAACAAGGGAAATGCTTCATCCCCGACAATTACATGGGATAAAACAATATCTGTTTGAGGCAACGCTTTATCTGTAGGTAAGTTTAATTCATTTGTTAGTAGTTTTTTCCCAAGCTGTGATGAACGGAATATCCCCCCGTCACTATTTCGGCCAAATGACCTAACGTCTACAGAGATAAATCTGTATTCTGGATCCACTAAAATGATGCTAAACTCCTTTTTATAATTGTGGAAAAGAGATCCTGAATTCGGAGGTTTTTCAAATACCACATGTTTGCCGTCTATTGCCCCAACACAGTTAGGATAGTTCCATTTTGTACGGAATCCTTCTTTTATTTTTCGCCACTGTTCTAGTGTCGGAGTAGGCATCACTAACGGTGCAAGGGTAGTCCATATTTTTTGAAATGTATCATAGATTATTTGTCTTACTGTTGTTTCTCCTAATCTATAACTAAAACTAATTGTAGAAATTGAATCGCCATAACCCAGAAACCTAAAAATACGAAAATATATTAATTGGTAATAAAGAATCAGTACAGAGTTCGTCAATGATAGGAAAATACCCATATAAATCTCAGAATAAGAATGTATATAATATATATTTGAAATTAATTAATGTCGACTTTTTACAGTTCCAGATTGCAAAAAAAGGTGGACAGCGCTTAGAGATGGTTTCCGAAAAGCAATTAAAAACAGAAAAACCTTCAGTGGTCAAGGGAATACCACAATAAAAAAGTGGAAATATGAAGACACCATGTCTTTCATAGTCCCCTTCTACTCGGAAAGAGTACAGAAGTCAAATTTGTCAGACAGCCAGCCAGAAGAGAATTGTTTAAATATTTCTGAAGATGAAACACACATGCATCATGCTACTGAGAATTCTATGAATTCCTCGGAACATCCTCCTCAGGACAACAATATTATGTCACCAGCGACTTGAGAAGTTAGGGCTACTACATCTAAGCATACTACAACCACCGAATCAAATGGCGCAAGTATTGAAAAATTATTTTGAAGGAAAATCTGCATCAAAAGTCGTTAAAAAAGCAGATCATTTACAAAATTTTTTTTGAAGCTATGCAGGAAACTGTAAGAACTTTTTCACCTCATCTTCAAATTGAAATTAAATCAAAAATATCAAATTTAGTCAGTGAGTATGAACTCAAAAATTTAATGATGAACAAAATTACGAATAATCAACCAGTACATTCTAGCTCATCATCTGTATCCTGTTCACCTCTTTCAAGCCCAACCAATCAAGACTTTACGAGCGAGTGGCAAGCTCAATCCTTTATACCTTCACCCCAAACACCTACTCTACAGATAGTTTTTAATTCAGAAATTGAAAACTCAGATACTTGTCAATTATTGTTTAATTAAAAAAATAAATTGTTTTTTTCTATAAATTATGAATTACCTATTTATTTTAGTTGAAAATTGGGATACTTACTTTAGAGTAACCGCTAGCCTTTCTTCAGGAGATATTGCTTTTCGAAAGTTTGTGTTCTGCTTTCTAAGGGGTAATAGATCAACTAGTTCATAAAATTTAACACTAGACATTCGAAAATATTTAAAAAACTTTTCATCATCTTCGAGTAAGTCCGGAAACAAATGATAAAACTCTCCATAAGTTTCACGTTTTAAATTAATGTTATGAATCCAATATCTTGGTTTTTGTTTTTGCATTTCATTACACGCTAAGGCAATCATAACATCTTCTTCAGACTCTGATGAACTAGAACTCATTTTTAAGATAATTTAAGTCTGTTTCAAACGGTTGCTGATACGAAACTGCCGATGAGACCAAGTCAGTGCGCGGTACACTTTGCCGATCTAATCGTACCGTTCCGAGCCGATTCAATGCGCGGACTCCTTTACCCGACTGTCCAGATTACCGGTCTACACTCCTAGTATACCAAATGAGCCTCTCGTGGGACCACTTTACTCTCATTCCACAGAACCAAAGTGAGGTTGGGTACCTCATACACCCTTTCGTAGAGTTACGGCAGTTACCTACCTTGGGAGACTTAAGCATGGAAGAGAAGAGCTCCTCGGCGACTACCTTCTACGTGCGAGGTCGAGCCTCGCACTTGAAAATTTTTAACAAAAAAAAAAAAAAATTTGTTTAATTTACTAATGTTTGTATATTGAGAACGATTTTTGAAGTGGAAATTGAAAAGTCAATAAACTTACTTTAACCTTTATTTGTGGCGTATTACCATTTAAATATTAATTACTTTAAAATGCCACAAGAAAATTATTATTATTATACATAAGCAAGGGCAGAGGAAAAAGTCCCTATTATGTCCAAAAACAAAGAAATTTCATTAGTAACCTACTAGTAAATAACAAATTTACCATTTTTGGTTTAAAAGAAAAACAATATTTTAACTATAATATAAAACGGTCAAGTCTCTTTTTGAACGAGTTGGTAGAGGGAGCAGAGACAATGTTATCATTAAGGTTATTCCAACATTCAAAAACTCTATTTGGTAGAAAGTTCTGTCTTGATCTTATAGAAAAGTTTTCTTTCTTTAGTTTAAACTGATAACCTCTCAGGCGTTCATCTTGATTTATGGTAAACATTTCATCAAGATTTCAAAAATTGAATTTTAATATTTTCAATATTGTAATTAAGTCTCCACAAAAGAAGTTAGGTTAGCCATACTAAATCATTCTGCATAAGAAAGTCTTCTCGGTCCCAAAGGAATTCGAGTGGCTTTTTTGAATGTTTTCGCCAGTCTTGTCTCGAACCAAATCAGAATACCACGTTGGTCCAGCGTAGTCAAGTATGGGTCAAGTAAGGCTGCTGTTTACGATAACATCAAGGTCGTTATACCAGAATACAGATTCTAATGGTTGCTCTTTAACAAAGTACGGTACAAGTGGGTTATTTTTACCAATTCGAAGCACTACACATTTTTCCGCATTTAAGGGTGGTAACCACTGGGAACACCAAGTTAAAATAGTGTCCAAGTACATTTGGAGGGTTAGCTGGTTTGTGATTAGATTGGCATATATTTTTGATTCGTCTAACGCTAACTTTGTAATGTCGATCTGTCAAGAAATCATATATCGAACGAAGTAAAGTATCGCGAACTCCGAAATGTTATAGCTTATGTAGAAGCATGCGCTTACGTACACGGTCAAAGGCTTTAGAGAAATCTAGATACACACCGTCGACCGGCTGCGAACTGTTAAGGGGAGCGAACTTTCAACAAGCAGGACGGAAATTATTAGCGGGACATTTTAACAAATGCAGTGGAGTTTCTAAACCACACATGTTCCAAAATAGACGATGGATATCTCGACAAGACTCTTCATCTGCGCAAAGGCGAAAACAGCTCAACAGTGGCTTGAAAATCATTTACTCGAATTAATTACTAATGAACATTAGCCGTCAGCCAACCTAGACCTTAATCTACTCGCCTACTAATTGTGGTTATTTTTAGAGGGCATAGTTACTACAAGATTTTACCATAATCAAAAGAATCATTGAAACAGGCTCTAGTAGAAGTTGTGGACAATGTGCCTATGTCAAAATAGATTGTCATCAGTACGCCGCAGTAAAGTTAGAAAAGGAGCATTTTTACTTGCGAAAACATCACTACAGGAGCAATACGACCAATTTATGGGGGGGGGGGGGGCATATCGACATGATATGCAAAGGACGACAGCATGTCTCAAATACAGTAAACCACTTAAACCAGTAAAACGCGAAATTAATGAATCAATAGGAATAGAAAAAAAAAACCCAACTGTTTCTGTATTAAAGAAATCAAAAATAAATCAGACCACAAGACCGACTGGTAGGACCTCTCCTTGCTATACACGGACAGGGCCAATCACAAGAAGCTTTGCCAAAGACCGTTCGAGAGAATCGAGCCAAAATCGGCTATATATTAAAAATTGGAATTTCCTGGCTAGAGTTATACTAGTGCAGATTTATTTTGGTAGCTCACACACAGATTAATTTTTTTTAATAGGTATTTGACGCGAATTGTAATTTATCTCTAGATAAATAGAAAGATTAACTTACCACAATGTAGCAACCATTGTATCACAGAACCGGCATCTGTACAAGGTACTTCGGAAATGTAGACTAATTCTTTCTCCAATTGATAACCAACCAAAGGATACATTCCTGTCAAGCTAGGATGAATTCTGTTAGAAGTATTAATATCCAAAAATGCTCCTGTTCCCATAGTTAACTTCAAATCATCTTCCGTAAAACTACCAGAACCCAATACCGACGATTGTTGATCAGCCATCTATGCCCAAAACATAATGAATTTTAAGAGGTATGCCGATCCAGTTCTAACTTTTTATGAATTACTTACCACACACTTAATTCTAATGGGCACACCAAGTATACTTTCATCGGTTTCTCCAAAATCATAATCATTTGCTACAACTTTGGGCAAAAAGTGTGTAGGAATACCAAGCGATTTAGCAACAATACCCCAATCGAGTGTAAAAGGGTCATAGAAACCTGTTGAACTTGCATTAGTGACATCGGTAACGTAGGATAGACCTCCAGTAAGTTTATAGATTAACCAAGTATCCATTGTTCCAAACATCAAATTTTTGTTTCTTAAAGCTTGTTGTACTGGTTTTAGATTTTTCAAAACCCATAAAAGTCGGCCAGTGACCTATAACAGTTTAACATATAGCAATAAGTAAAGTATTTAACAGTTTGGTGGAGCAGTGGTAAGAGCGTAGAAGTTGTTAGTTCGCATCATGCCTGAGAATCATTATTAAAAAAAATGACTTTTTGTAAAGACAGTAAAGGCGACTGTATTTAGTTACTTAAAACAGCTGGAATACGACTTCTACGGAACATAAAAAGAAATATGAAGAATGATCAGAGGACAAAAAAAGAGATAACACATTCAGAAAATCCAAACACATTATCAGACGCTAATGAATCACCAACACCAGAAGTAACGACAAACGAAGAAATAAATATTGAGAAATAAGAGGTAGAGGAAGGAACTAATCAAAAAAATAATAGAACAAAACAGAATACAACAAGAATGGAGATTAAGCATCCTAATACCTCTCTTCAAAAATCCTAACAACCAAAGTGATAACAAATAAACTAAATGAAATTATAATACTAGCAGAATAATAGAGAATTGGACGGATATTGCTTAAGACATAGACGAATGGAGACATATCAAGTGGACTACAACTCACGAAGGGTTGTATCGTCCCGGAAGTAAGTAAGAAGAACAAAGTTTTAGGTCGGGAAGATCATGCACCTACGCTATATTTATAATGATGCAAGTTTAAGAGAAACCATTAGAATACAACAAACCGGCATATCTATGTTTCGTGGACCTTAAGAATGCATTTGACAAAATCAAATTAAAGGACGCTATCCACTTTGTAGCAATTTTCAGTCCCCGACCTAAGATAGAAAATAATTGTATTCTGAAAATTGTTAAACTAGTTGCCTACCTAGTAACTAGTGTATTCCTAACCTTCTTTAAATGATAACGAAAAAGAAGACGACGTTGAATTGACAGAAGGAGGCGGATGACGTATTTCCGGAAGGGAGGTTACTGGACGAGCTGGTGAAGTACAGCAGATAGTAGTGTGAGTTGTGACAAAAAATAATAAGAATTCCGATTTTATCTTGGCTTGGCCATCAGTGCCGATTATGGGATGTTAAACAAGTAATGTGCCTTACCGAGTTATTTGGGTTATTTGTTATAATGTTTATTGTGTGATTGCGAATAGTTCGCGAGTTGTGGGTTTTGGTGGATAGAATTGGAGATGTTCCAGTCATCGGCGGTTGATTCACAATAGAATATTTACTGTTTTGCCGTAGTACATTTCGAGAGCCCGTAGTGGTTCAGTAGAGAGGACGGCAGATCTATCAGGGTTATTTCTTCTGCCAAGCGACTTCTGATTGGGTGTTGTCTTGCTGGATGATAGTTAATTGTCTTGAAGAAAATTATACTTAATTTCAAAATTTCACCTTGTATTATTCATAATAGACCCTACATGATATAGTTCGTTAAGATCAGGTTGTTAAGGAGCTTTTAAAAACATAAATAAAAATATATAGAGATTATGGACTATGCCAGACTTGTGTGGATTACCCGATGTGATTCGATAATCGATTCAATTAGATAATCGCTTGGATTCGATAATCGATTTGATTCGATTCGATAATAGATTCGATTCGATAATAGATTCGATTCGATAATAGATTCGATATTTGATTAGATTCGATTCAATATTTCTTTAAATTCGATATTTGATTCGATTCGACTATCGATTTGATTCCACCTAATTCGATAATCGATTCGATATTTAATTCGATTCGATCTGATATTTGATTCGATTCAATTCCGATTCGATAATCGGTTTAATTCGATAATCGATTCGATACTTAATTCGATTCGATATTTGATTAAATTCAATATTTTTTAAAATTTTCTTATTTTACTTCATTTATCATTGAGAGATTGAGACCTCAGTGCCGTTTGACAGTTCTTATATTTCTACAGAACACGATACTGGTACGTCACGAGTAAGGGGAGTAGGCAGATTGAGATCCCGAACTAGAACGGAACCGTATTCCTACTGATGATGGCTCCATAATGGGTGACGAAACGTCGCGTTTCAAATTCTCATCGCGGTTCTTTCCGAGAAGTGCGTTGTTTATATAATATTGTTTTTAATATTCTCTTTTATAAAATCACATACGCACACGCATACGCGCGCGCCCACGCACACACACCCACACACACACGCGCGCACACACACACACGCATACACACACCCACACACGCACTCGCACACGCACCCGAACTAACAAAAACTACCCGAGAAAAGGAAAGTCAAAACGTTTGGAATGTAATAAAAAGGTTTTGCGGGTAAATATGAGATACAAACTAAGGTTTGTAATATATGTACGAAAAAAGGAAAATTTAGAAAACAAAAGATATTGGCAAAATTTGGAATAAAAAAGATGTAGTACTTAAAAGGTATAATGAGCTGAAACAATATAATATGAAACAATTACTTACATGATTATTTCTAATTCGAAACTTACTAGCCATTCCATATTTTTTATTGCATGTTCCTAAATATATCAAAAATGCTGCCCATCTTAAACTCTAAAATAAAATCATTTAGTTTTATAATAAAAACAAAATTTACTTATCGCACCAAAAAAAACATAGATGTATTCATCTTGTTTATTAATTGAGATGCTCTTAGGTCCATCCATGTTATAAAATTATGAAAATATTCACCCGTATTTTTATTCCAAGTAACAAACGAACACCTTTGGGTGGCAATACCAAGTGATTTTATCTGATGCATGCTTACATTAGCATCTAAAAAGTATAAAAATATATAAAAGAGTTAGAATACAAAGGTAATTATATGTACTTTACCCGGTCTTTTATTAATATTGAAAATTGAGAAATTAGTTAAATCTTTTTAGTTTAGTTAATTTTCTTAAAAAAAGTCAAAATTAAGTTGAGAAGTAAAATAAATGCACCAGCTAATTTATAATTAACCCTAACTGGTCCGGCGTCACCTCACAGCCAACAATTCTACGTATTCCTGTTATATAGTCAAATTCACACTTGTGCATACAGCTAAGTAGGGTCATGCTCACAGACCACTAATAACTAGACGTTTCACGTAGGTAGCTCAAGATCAAACTAAACTTAATGTCATTTGTAGTACCGATACAAATCTTCAGATGTCGCTTTACTCTGTCTTTACCTTTACTCTGCAGTTTAGGTTTAGAACACAACTTCTTCTTTGCGTGTCATATCAGATTTATCCGACGTTGGCGATCACCATTGCGAAGGCTTCTCGATCTTCTGCAATATGGAATAATTGTCCTGCATTTGGTATCTGAGTCCATTCACGAATGTTTTTTAACCAAGAAACTTGTTTTCTTCCTACACCTCTACGGCTCTCTATTTTGCCTTTAAGGATCAGTTGTAAAATTTTATATCGACTTTCCCTTACTACACGTCTCATTTAAGACATTTTGCGATGTTTAATAGTCTTTAGCAGTTCTCTGTCTTTGTTGACGCTCCTTAGTACTTATTCATTAGTTTTTCTTGCTGTTCCAGGTATTTTCAGCATTCGTCTATGAACCCACATTTCCAATGCTTCAATTTTGTTCATGATCGATACTTTTAGCGTCCACACTTCTGCACTATACAAAAGTACAGACCAAACATAGCACTTAACCATTCTTTGCCTGAGTTCTAAACTGAGATGGTTATGGCAAAGAAATGACTTCATTTTCATAAAAGTAGTTTTAGTCATTGCTATTCTACGTCTTATTTCTATGTCTGGATCTAGTTGGTCCGTTATCACAGTTCCCAAATATGTCATTTTGTGAACTCTCTCAACTTGGACTCCGTTCAATTGAAGCTTTGCATCGGGATGTGGGTCACGACTAAACACCAAAAATTTGGTTTTGTTTGAGCTTATTTTAATGTCCATTTCCTCTAATACCTCGTGAATACGATCAAGCAGAATCTGAAGACCTTCAATATTATCTGATAGAATTACTGTATCGTCTGCATATCTAATCACATTAAGTAGTTCCCCGTTGATTTTTATTCCATATGGTTGTCTCTCAAGTGCCTTTTTAAATAACTGGTCCGAGTAAACATTGAACAATGTTGGCGACAAAATGCAACCTTGTCTGACTCCTCGTTGTATGAGGATTTCATCGGTGTATTTATCGCCAATTTTTACGATAGCAGTTTGATTCCAGTACAAATTTTTAATGACACGAATATCCTTGTCATCTATTCCGATATTTTTCAGTATTTGCATTAATTTTACATGCTGTACTTTATCGAATGCCTTTTCGAAGTCCACGAAACATGCAAATACATCTTTTCTTTGGTCACGGCATTTTTGTAATAGGATGTTAAGCGCAAAAAGTGCCTCCCTGGTTCCCATAGCGTTTCTAAAACCAAATTGGGTATCTTCAAGATCTTCTTCGCATTTGCTTCTAATTCTGTTGTGAAGTATTCTGAGGAAAATTTTAAGAGTGTGGCTCATTAGGCTAATTAATCGATATTCTGAGCATTTTCTCGCACTGTATTTTTTAGGTATTGCGATAAAGATGGATTTGAGCCAATCTGCGGGAATCACTCCGGTGTTATATATTGAATTAAAAAGTCTTATTACTACTTTTATGTTATCATTCCCTATCAGTTTCAGCAACTCAGTTGGTGTATCATCTGGACCACAAGCTTTTCTAATTTTAGCATTATTTATAGCATGTTCTACTTCGCATTTCATAATTTCTGGGCCGTCAGTACAGTTTTGGTCGAATTCGGCAATATTATTCCTGTCATCTTCAAACAACTCTGATATATACAGCTGTCATTCTTTTCTTATTTCTTGCTCATTTACAATAATTTTGTTATTAGTATCAACAAGTAAAGAGGGAACTCGTTTTTTAAATATATTACTCATTTCTTTCATTTTTTTGTGCATATTAAATAAGTCGTGTTTAGATATTACATCCTCCATTTCGTCGCACTTTTCTCTCATCCATTTTTCTTTGGCTAATTTGATCTCTTTTTTTATTCTTCTCTGCAGGTGTCTATATTCTGTAACATTAGATTTTATCAGTCGAAGTTGTTCCATTAATTTCAAGATGTCGTCTGTCATCCTTTAATATATAAAATTTCGTGTTTATTAAGTTTCTGTAAGATGTCTTGGATCTGATCATACAACTTCTCGACTTCATCGTCATATTTATCTGCAGTCGTGGCTTAGATTTGAAGTATGTTAGTTTTAAATGGTTGAGTATTTATTTCTTCTTCTTGCAGTACCGTCTCCTATTTTAGGTTGGCTACCATCACAGCAATCTTTACTTTGTTGGCTGCAGCTCTGAACAACTGTATTGAACTGCAGCCATACCACTCCCTTAAATTTCGCAACCAGGAAATCCTCCTACGTCCCACATTTCTCTTTCCCGAGATTTTTCCTTGGATTATGAGTCTAAGCAGAGAGTACTTTTCTCCTCTCATTATGTGGCCCAGATATTCCAGTTTTTTCGTTCGTATGGTTTTTATGACTTCGTATTCCTTCCCCATCTTCAGCAGAACATCTTGATTTGTTACTCTTTCTGTTCATGATATTTTCCACATTCTCCTGTAACACCACATCTCGAATGCCTCAATGTTGTTGATGTTTATCTTTTTCAGTGTCCAGGCTTCCATGCCGTACAGCATAACAGAGAAAACATAGCACCTTAACATTCTCGTTCTTAAGTTTATATTTATGTCCCGGCTGCATATGAACCTTTTCATTTTGACAAACGATTGTCTCGCTATCTCTATTCGCCTCTTGATTTCTCTTGTCTGGTCATTAGTATCAGTGAAGCAAACCCTTAAATATTTGTAGGACGTTACTCTTTCAACCGGCTGATATACAACTGGTGTATAGCTTCTTTGTTACAATCATGAATTTAGTCTTTTTGATGTTCAGTTTTAGACCATACTTATTGGTATGAGTGTTTATGTTTTCCATTAAAAACTGTAAATTTGCTAGGTTATTTTTTACTATTAGCGTGTCATCAGCGTAGCGTATATTGTTAATTAACTCATTGTTATTAACTATCCGTTAATATTCATACCAATGTTTTGCTCTAGGAGTGCTTCCTGACATATTGTTTCGCTATATATATTGAATAATAGTGGTGAAAGCACACAACCCTGACGCACACCTCGACGAATCTCAATTTCTTCGGTTAACTCATTATCAACTTTGATTTTTGCTGTTTGTCCCCAGTACAACCTGGATATGATGTTAATGTCGCGACTGTCGATGTTTTTGCTTCTTAGGATTTCATACAGCTTTTGGTGTCTGATTTTATCGAAGGCCTTCTCAAAACCTATGAAACCTACGTAGAGGTCTTGGTTTACATCCAAACATCTTTGCATTAACACACTCAGACCAAACAAAGCTTCTCGTGTTCCGAGTCCACCTCTGAATCCAAACTGTGTGGCGCTTATGCCCTCTTCTAATTTATTAAATATTCTTTTGTGAATTATTTTTAAAAATACTTAGTGTGTGGCACATCAATGCTATAGTTCTGTGTTCTGAACACTCTCTGGCGATATTCGTCTTCGGGATTGTGACAAAAGTAGAGGAGAGCCATTTCTTTGGTATGATGCCTGTTCTATATATTGTGTTAAAGAGGTTCACCATTATTTCAAGCGCGTCGTCGTCTATAAGTTTCAACAATTCTATAGGAATTTCATCTAGTCCTGCAGCTTTACCCCCTTTTGTGTTCCTTATAGCATATTCTACCTCGCTTTTTAGGATTTCAAGACCTGTTGTGTCGTCTGTAGGTTCTGCCACTGCTATTTCTGGTCTTTCGTCTGCAAAAAGTTCTTTAATGTATTCTGTCCATCTTGCCAGTTTTTCATTTAAATCTGTAATTATTTTACCTTTTTTGTCTTTTACGATGGATGCGTGTTTCACTTTTTTACCTGTTATTTCCTTGTTCTTTTTATGCATGTTAAAGCTATCGTACTTTCTATCATATTCTTCTATTTCCTTGCAGTTGTCCAGAACCCAGTTCTCTTTGGCTTCTTTAATTTTACTCTTAATTTCACGGTTCACTTCCATCCATTTATTCTCTACATTGCCTGTGTTCGTATTTTTTGCAGTGATGTTTCTAAGCTTGTTGTTTACCTGTTCCCTTGTCCTTTCCAGTATAGTTGCGTTTTTCAGTTGCTTAACGTCTATCTTTTGTTTAGCTGCACTTTTCTGTAGTTTCTTGAATCTTATATTTACTACAGCCACCACCGGATTGTGATCCGATTCTATATCAGTACCTGGATAGGTTTTTGTAGACGTGATGGAGTTTTTAAACCGGCTTCTGATTAGTATATAATCGATTTGATTCCTGGCGATGTTGTCTGCATTATCCCTTGGTGATGTCCACGTGTACAATCTACGGTTTGGTAATCTGAACATTGTGTTCATTACTACAAATTCTTTTTCTTGGCAAAATTGTACGAGACGTTCACCTCGGTCGTTTCGTTGTCCAAGTTCAAATTCTCCAGTGCATCCATCAGTTTTCGCCTTACCAACTTTAGCGTTGAAGTCGCCCATGATTACGTGACCTCTTCTTTTTTGGTCGATTCCAGAATGTATTCAAGTTGTTTGTAAAATTCTTCTATTTCCTCATCCTCTTTTTTTTTCTTTTTTCCTCATTTTTCCTTTGTTCGACTTTAGTTGGATTGCTATGATTCGTTCTGAATATGGGGTAAAACTTAGTACCGATTTGTTGACTTCCCTTTCTACTATTATTCCGACGCCATAACGTGGTTTT